TCTGAGGCTTAGTAGTATTATAAGTATCAAGTAGTTACAAGCGGGCTGCTACAAATGATGCAGGTTGCAACTGTATAGTGCAATTTATGAGTAGGTTGCTATTGCAGAGTGAAGATTACAAGTAGCATGGTGGTGTTACATGGGGTACGGTGTAGGTTGCAATATAGTAAATAGTTGTTGTAATGAGATGAATATGAGAAGTGACGGGAAGACCCTCCTGTTTATACTAACTAAGTCGGTCTACGCATTTAATGCACCTGCTGAAGTGGCTTGACGTGGAGTCTTCTCGTTGGCTTGGTCAGGCCGTTGCTCTGCGGCTATGCGTAGGTTGACTGATCGAGGAGGCAGAGCTGTTTACTTTTGCAAGTTGTCAGCCGCCGCTCTGCAGGTGCAAGTTGCCCCCTATAACTTGTCGTATAAGTTACATTTTTGGCTCTGCAGGCTGTGTCTCATTGTAGGCCGACCGGATGGCTTTTTGTTGGGACAATTCCAAGGGTGATCCGAGAACATCTTCTTTTGTTACGAGGCCTATCGATATGAACGGTACGGTTGATCACAAGTGATTTAGTCCCGTCGGATTGATGGCTACGACGGACCGATTAAGTGACTTCTTGACGGACCGGCTATACAGATTAGTCTTTTATGCGTATTAACCCATCAATATTATTAGGAATAAGAAGAAAATGAATGACATAAAAACTAAAATGTCCTTGTGTAATAATAATAAAAAAAATAATTGAGAGAAAATATGTTAATTTCCTATTTTTTCCTTTTCCGACTTCTGCTGAATTAGAATTCATGAATAGGGAGCATGAATTCCAATTCAATGAATGAAGGGAATGGAATTGCAATATCTCCAACCAAACAATGTTATTTTCTTGACTATTGAATTATATTGGAAAATAATTTCAATTGCATGCAAACCAAACACCTTATTAATGTTTGATACTCCGTAGTACATTACATAGTTTTTTATTATTGTTATTTGTTACTTGGGGAATAATCAACTATGTATAGGATTTAAAATCAACCTAAATAACAGCGCACCAGTGGTCTAGTGGTAGAATAGTACCCTGCCACGGTACAGACCCGGGTTCGATTCCCGGCTGGTGCATTATCTTTTATTTTATTTTTTAAACACAATTTATTTTGCTATTTTATTTTAATTTCCTGCGCCGAACGCATTACCTATTTATTCTAACAAAGCCCTCCGCCGCCTCTGTTTAGCAGAAACCTCACAGACGTCGATCCCGCCGGCGAGGCAGATTTGTTATCCGCCGCCGCTCCTTCACTCCGCGCGACGCCGCACGCAGCTTATTCACGGCTTTGTGTTGTTTTTTCCTAATCCAAAAGCCTCTATTTGTTTCCAGGTTAGTTTCACTCTCTTATGCTTCTTTTTCATGGCGTTTGAATTGGTTTCGGTATGTGTAGGAGGCTCTGTGTTGATATGAGTATTCTCATGTGTTTATAAGCGGCTTCATACATTGCATATTTCAAGTCTCTCAAATTCAATACAATTGCTTGAATTTTGCTTTTTATTTTATTTCTTCTTCGATCGAAGTAATAGAATCGTTCATTTTCATTTTTATTTTTATTTTTTAATTTTTTTTAGCAATTAGTATACTTAATCCTCCGGCATCTTCTGGATAAACAAAAACTCTGAATTCTGACAATTTCAGTCTAAACCACACAAAAATAGGGCGCTGACTTTAATTCCATTTTCTCCAGCCGACTATCCGCCGCCTCTGTTTCTTGCTGAATTCTTATTTATCCTTGCTTCGCCTCCACCATCTTCAAAGCTCCATGTTGAATTCGAACGCAGGTAGCTCTCCTTTCTGTTTTATTTTATTATGCTCTATATAAATAACAGCTGTTTTGGTTTGTGGATTCAGAAAATTCTGTCAGCCGTCTTTTATTCATGATTTTCTCATTGCCTTTGCTTAGGTTTTAACATTAATTGCTCCGAGAATCTATTTCCGTGGTTGTAGAATCCTTTGCCATGTTTGTGCAATGCTTATTCTCTCTAATCGTCTGATTTTGTTAAAATAAATATTGAAAAAGGATTTTATTGTTTTTGTTTTTTTGAATATTGGTAGTACTTGAGTCAATAATTTGAGCTGCAGAATTAAATTCCTCTTCTTAAGTACTGTCTTCGGTCCTTATATATTGTTATGTAGGGTGTGGTTTCCGTAATTCCATGTTTTTTTGGTTGAAGATATTTTCTTGTTGTTACTTTCTGGATAGGTATGATGGCAGAAGAAGCAGGTATGTTCAATGTTACTCAGACAGTTGGCAGCGTTCTATGCTGCAAATGTGGTGTATTGATGCAGCCGAATGCTGCCAATATGTGTGCCAAGTGTTTGCGCTCTGAGGTTGATATAACAGAGGGGTTGCAGAAGCATGTTATTATTTGTCACTGCCCGGAATGTGACACCTATTTACAGCCTCCTAGAACTTGGGTCAAAGCGCAACTTGAATCGAAAGAACTTCTTACTTTCTGTGTGAAGAGGTTGAAAAATTTGAATAAAGTTCGCTTGGTGCATGCTGAGTTTATTTGGACCGAACCTCATTCCAAGAGGATCAAAGTCAGGCTGAGAGTTCAGAAAGAGGTTCTGCATGGAGCAATCCTTGAACAAGCGTATACTGTTGAGTATGTTGTCCAAGATCAGTTGTGTGAAGCGTGCTCACGTATTCAGGCTAACCCTGATCAGTGGGTGGCTGCAGTACAGCTAAGGCAACATGTTTCTCATAGAAGATCTTTCTTTTATCTGGAGCAGCTTATTCTTAAGCATGATGCTGCCTCCCGTGCTATAAGAATTAAGCAAATGGATCAGGGGATTGATTTCTTCTTTGGTAATAGGAGTCATGCTGTGAAGTTTGTGGAGTTTGTGGGTAAGGTAGTGCCAGTCAGAAGTCGTAATGACAAGCAACTCGTGTCTCATGATATCAAAAGCAGTAACTACAATTACAAGTATACTTTTTCTGTTGAAATCTCTCCAATATGTCGTGAGGATCTCATTTGTCTCCCGCCAAAGGTATCTGTTGGTTTGGGAAATCTCGGTCCCCTTGTGATCTGCACTAAAGTGACCAATAGCATCGCTTTGCTGGATCCATTCACTTTGAGGCACTGTTTTCTGGATGCTGATCAATATTGGAGGACATCATTTAAGCCTCTGCTTACTAGTAGGCAGCTTGTGGAATATATAGTTTTGGATGTTGAGCCTGTCTCCTCTGAAGTTAATATTGGTGGTTCAAAGTATGTTATGGCAGATGTTCAAGTAGCTCGCATGTCTGATTTTGGGAAAAATGATACAATGTTCTCTGTAAGAACACATATAGGTCATCTTTTGAACCCTGGGGATTATGCCTTTGGTTATGATTTATATGGAGCCAACAATAATGATATTGAGTTAGAGAAATACAAAGGCCTTGTCCTCCCAGAGGTGGTTTTAGTAAAGAAAAGTTATGAAGAAAAGCGGCAGAGGAAGAGGGGCAAGCCTCGAGCTTGGAAGCTCAAGTCTCTTAATATGGAAGTTGACGACACTGGCAGAGGAAAAGACAACGAAGAAAAGATGACTTCAGAATATGAACAGTTCTTGAGAGACTTGGAGGAGAATCCTGAAATGAGGTTCAACATATCATTGTACCGCAATAGAGAATACCAACCCTCGGAAATGGCATCTATGACTGACGGGGATGATTTCCCCACGATTCCTCTGGAGGAGCTTGCTGGTCTTCGTTTGAGTGACGGTGATGATGATGATGATGAAGGCGATGATGATGATGACGGAATGGCAGAGTGAAGCCATGGCTGTCTTTCTATACGATTAAGGAGTTTGAAATATGACCAGAATATCAAATTACTGTTACCCTCTTGAATCTATGGTGTTTATTACTTACTATTTCAATTATGCTTTTGTTTTGGAATGTTGCGTAGAATATCACAGCTCCCTTCAATTTCTTCCTTTTCTCAAAATCTTTTTGTTTTAGTGAGTGGAGAAACTTATGATTGCTTGATCATTATTAATTGATTGGGTTTTCACTTTTCACCATTTCTTGCTGCAATTTGTCCATTTGATTTATTAGGTACCAGCGCTATTAATTAAGCCTGTTTCTTCTTCATGTTTATCTGCTGCATATCAGTACATGAATGCTTGATTTGCCAGATATATTACTGGAAGTTGTAAGATCACGAGGATGAACAAGTAGCTATGCAATTTGTTCTGTAGATAAGGAGGCAATGATCCATATATGGCTAGTGGCTACAGTCGAGGTGTCAAATGGGCAGGCTTAGGCCGTCCTGGTCTGGCTTGTCACTAGCCTGTTTATTTTTTGGACTAGGTCGGTTTAGATTAATTGAAGTTTAATTCGATCTAAAAATAGGAATTAAAGTCTGACCAGTCTATAGCCCTAATTTTTTTTAAAAAATAATATTAAAAATATATATCAACTAATTTAAATTATGTATTCTTTCTAAATTAATTTTACAAATTTACATATTTATTTTTAAAATGTAATGTAATATAATCCTCTTCCTCTACTATAATAAAGCTAAATCTTTTTGGGCCATAGCCGTAAGTCATCCATTCAATTATCCAATTGACGAGGGGCATATCCCATCAGAACTTATTTGAGTTGAGTTTAAATAGCTAAAATTACAATTTTTATAGATATTCATTAACTACACTCAACACAAAGCACCAGTGGTCTAGTGGTAGAATAGTACCCTGCCACGGTACAGACCCGGGTTCGATTCCCGGCTGGTGCAAACTTTTTATTAGCCGTTATAACTCCTCATTCCCTCCATTTTCATGAATCCTCCGACAAAACATGTCTCAGAAATCAATACCACATACCATTTTTACTGTTTGATTATACGCGCGCCACACCGCGAACTGCGCCAACCGTACATAATAAAAAACACACAAAAAAAAAAAAAAAAAAATTAAAAAAAATCCAAACTTTGTCTCGGCCTTTTTCACCGCACCTCAATTCTCTTTCTGGGTCATTCTTGCCCTCATCTCCTCTCCTCCCTCTGGACCCCACCTTCCACCTCCGCCAACCACCGGGTCCACGGGGATCAGCTGCTGGCTGTACGTATATGTATTATATTTAAGCACCGTACATGTATGTATGTATGTATAGGATTAGGGCCCTGACATGAATAGAACAGTTTTGTTGTTCTTGATGTTGTTGTTAATGGAGTCTTGACACCCACCCCTTTTCTTTCTTTCTTTCTTTTTTGTTTTTGTCTACTTTTTTCTTTTTCTGATGGGGAGAGGAGAGAGAAAGGGTGACTGCAGGAAGGAGGAGCATTCGTGTCAGTGTGTGTAGCCTTGTAGGAGATGAATGAGAGACAGTGTGTGTTGTGGAGGAAACACCCTTTTTGGTAAGTGTTCTTAATCTGGGATCCTGTTCTTTGTGCTTTATTTATTTCAAGAAAAATTGGGTTTTTAAATTTATTTTGTGGTTTTGGCTCTTACCATGATTTTGCATTGGAGCATTGGGTAGTTTTGTTGGTAGGTTAATGGGACTTGTCATGATTGGTATTTCTTCATTTTCAAGACAATTGAGTAAATGAGGAGTATGCCCTTGAAATTCCACATTTAATTTCTTGTTTCCTAATACAGTTCTTCAAGAATGGATGTTTTTAGTTGGTTAATTAATTAATTAATTTGTTGGGTGTGGGATCTTTCAGGCTCTGAAAGAAGGTCATGGTGGTGAAGTTCATTTCCTATGATTTTTGAGGTATTTTTGAGGGAATCTATGTTTCAAATTGGTGTTGAAGAGGTGAAATGTTGAGGAAGGGTTTCATATGTTTTTGACTTATTGCAGTGGCTACTAATTTGTGGTAAGGTTGTTGAAAGCTGATCCTTGTTAGTCTTAATGGGATTTGAGAGTTTTGTGTTTATTTTGATGGTTTTTGAGAAATTCTCTTTAGAAATCGCGCTGAGGAGGTGGAGGAGAACATCAAGATCGAGTTGTTTCATGGATAAGGAGGGCGAATTTTTCTGGGACTGTTTATCATATGTTAGATGCAGGGACTATTCTGTCGGGGCGAATTGTGTGTTCAGAACCTCTACCTGAGACAGCCCTTTGCTAATAATCGAGCGAGAGCGAGGTATTCCACAGATTGAGTGCATCGAGGAGGAGGGGGCGGTTTTTGGTGTCTTCCCAATTGTCCCAACTGGAAATCATGAAGTTCCCTTGTACCTATAAGGATGCCCTACAGTCTGAGAGGAAGGAGCCAGCTGGGTCGAGGATTCATTCCAAGTCGTGTCGCGATGGCTTGGAATCAAACCCTCCATTCAACACTCGCCCGCTTCCCCATTTTCCTTCCTTGAAGAAGTTCCATCGCAAAATGAAGTTCCAGAAGGAATCGGGTTGGACAAAGTACTTTGATCATGGTGGAGGGAGGGTGTCCTCTATGGATTCAACAAACGAGTTCTTGATCGATCTTTCTAAGCTGTTTCTTGGGTTGAGGTTTGCACATGGAGCCCATAGCCAGCTTTACCACGGGATATACAAGGACGAGCCCGTTGCAGTCAAGATTATCAGAGTGCCAGATGTCGACGAAACTGAAAGCCTAGAACCTAAGTTAGTGAGCCAGTTTAACCGGGAAGTTGCTCTCTTGTCTCGTCTTCGCCATCCAAATGTTATCGAGGTAAAATCCCCAACTACTATGTATATTGCCCATTGTTTTCTAAGCTCGTAGCGTTTTTCGAGAGGCAGGGTGTTGGACTTGGCCCTTACCCGAAAACCATTCTGATTGGGTTCGGGATTGTGTGTTTGATGCAGTTCGTAGGCGAATGCACGAAGCCACCCGTTTTTTGCATTGCCACCGAATATCTCTCAGCAGGCTCGTTAAGAGCATACCTGCACAAGCTCGACCACGAATCTGTCCCCTTGCAGAAACTCGTTGCGATGGCTTTGGATATCGCAAAGGGAATGGAATATGTTCATTCCCAAGGCATAATCCATAAGGATCTCAAACCCGAGAATATCCTCATCAGCCACGATTTTCAGCTCAAAATCGCCGATTTTGGAATAGCTTGTGAGGAGGCGCACTGCGATCTTCTGTGTGACGATCCGGGCACGTACCGTTGGATGGCTCCCGAAATGATCAAGCGTAAGCGCTATGGTCGGAAGGTTGATGTGTATAGCTTCGGGCTCATTTTATGGGAGATGTTGACGGGATTTGTCCCCTATGAGGACATGACTCCTATGCAAGCCGCTTTTGCTGTAGTTAACAAGGTAAAAGTTCTTAACATGTCTGCAAACAAAACATTTCCTTGTTGAAACAAACCTTAATGAACATTCATGATGTCTTATGTTTATTAACATTGTGGTATGTTAGAACCTTATTCTTGTGCCAAGGACCTTGTAGTCTAGTGGCACCAAGTTGCTCTCTCATATGGGAGGTTGTGTGTTCGAGCCTCAGTGGATTGTAAACAGTATTGACTCTTTGTGCTTCAGTAGGTTGAGAAAGTAGTTATGAACAGATACTGCATTGTAATAGAGTCAGTAGTACTCAAAAAACAGAAGCTTATTCTTGTCGGTCTAGGAATTCTGAAGGGTAGTTATGAACAAATACTGCATTGTAACAGAGTCAGTAGTACTCAAAAAACAGAAGCTTATTCTTGTCGGGGTAGTTATGAACAAATACTGCATTGTAACAGAGTCAGTAGTACTCAAAAAACAGAAGCTTATTCTTGTCGGTCTAGGAATTCTGAAGGGTAGTTATGAACAAATACTGCATTGTAACAGAGTCAGTAGTACTCAAAAAACAGAAGCTTATTCTTGTCGGTCTAGGAATTCTGAAGGGTAGTTATGAACAGATACTGCATTGTAACAGAGTCAGTAGTACTCAAAAAACAGAAGCGTATTCTTGTCGGTCTAGGAATTCTGAAAGGTAGTTATGAACAGATACTGCATTGTAACAGAGTCAATAGTACTCAAAAAACAGAAGCTTATTCTTGTCGGTCTAGGAATTCTGAAGGGTAGTTATGAACAGATACTGCATTGTAACAGAGTTAGTAGTACTCAAAAAACAGAAGCTTATTCTTGTCGGTCTAGGAATTCTGAAGGGTAGTTATGAACAGATACTGCATTGTAACAAAGTTAGTAGTACTAAAAAAATACGAAGCTTATTCTTGTCGGTTTAGGAATTCTGAAGGGTAAACTGCAATCTTGCAGAAGTATTCATTAGTATAATTAAATACGAGCAAATTCCAGGTGGTTTTTGGCATGATACCTCGATCTATAACTACATGATGGGAGTCTAAAATACATAATCTTTCACTATCTCGCAGAATATGAGACCGAAAATTCCTGGAGACTGCCCTCCTGCCATGAAAGCTTTGATCGAACAATGCTGGTCTATGCATGCGAAAAAGAGGCCCGAGTTTTGGCAGATTGTGAAGGTTTTAGAGCAGTTTGAGTCTTCACTCGCTAGTTATGGAACACTACTGAATCTAGTACCGAATTCGAGATCTCAAGATCAGAAAAAGGGGCTTCTTTGGTGGATCCAAAAGCGTGATCCCACCCATTCAAACGCTTCTTCTAGAGGCTAATCCTAATGATTCTGTATGATCTGACGTTTGTAGTTTCTCCAGGTCCCGTTGTAACTAGAGAGTGCTGTGTCTCAATCCCGTGTGAATGTGAATGGCTAGGCCTTAGGCGTGCGCTAGAGTGGCATTTGTAAAATTTTCTGATGACAAACGGTATAAGTTTTTGAGAACGATCGACTGCAAACATCTAACCCAAATCTTGATTGAAATATATATTCCCTTCACTTTTGATTATGCTAAGTTGTGCTTCTATAACAATACATTTTTTGTGTGAAGTTATGTTGCTAGCTTTCTGGGCAAAAAGTATCAGGAATTTCTCGAGGATTGATTATTGCAGAGCATTACAGAGGCAGAAACTGACAGATCGAGGCTGCATGATCGAGCTCGAGATGTTGAATATCATCCTAATCGAATTGAAATGAACTGAGGTTACAGTAGTGCTTAATGTTCGGTGGCTAGCCTCGTTGTTATCTTATTATGCTTGCTTATATAGTTTATATATCCATACGTTACATGCCACTCCGCTTTCTAACTTGAATCTTTCAGGCAATCCTGTTATCTGCAGATATCTTATGTAGAATTCACAGGTGCGGGCGAAGAAATGCATCGGTGTGCAGAAATTCGCCTTTGGGTTTCCTTTGACATTACACACAGGTCTGTCTGTAAGCCTAACCAAAACTGAGAATGTCTGTGTTAAGCCTAAGCCTAACACAGTTTCATTTGTGCATTCTTTGGTTTACTGCATCTGCTAAAGTGAGTGAAAACTGCAAATGTCTGTTTGAGAACAGTGGTGGATATGGCAGTCTTGCCACTGTCACTCTCCATGTGATTGGATACTCTTCTACAGAAATTTTTTTACTTGATTCCACATCAGCTACACAAGAGATTGTGAAGTGATACTTCATTTGGGACCAAACATCCACTTAGGAGCTAGCTTTGGTGGTAGAGTTAGGGTTTTAATTGGCTTGAGTACCGTATCATTTGGTGCTCTTGTTGAGAGGCCAGTGCATGGTGGGAAAGGGTTACTTGGAAGAGGGCTACCTGGTTCTTGATAAGGTTTAAAGGTGTTGTATAACAAAGGGTTATGTCTATCTATATGGTTGCGTCTGTTTGTGAATAGGTGTCTATATATATATATATATATATATATATATATATATATGTACTATGTTTCTTCATTAGAAACATAGAATTATAGTAATGTATTGTAATCTTTGAGTATTATATACATTTTCTCATTCCTTGATTCTTCATCTCTGCTTCTGCCTTACTGGGGGTGGTTATTATTCTCACCTACAGACTTTGGATCTTTCAAATTCTACATGGTATCAGAGCCTACTTTATTAGGCTATTTTTCTTCCAATTTTCTGACGTAAAAGAAACCCACAACTGTCTCTTGGATTCCGACGTGTCTATGGTGGTTTACTTCAAGATCTACCACCACAGTCACACTCGGAATCATGTCGCGAGTCGCGACCTTGCCCAAGAAATGCCGGTGTCATCCACGGTTGCATGCGCCTCGCGCTGGCCCGTGGGTTTTCCTATGGTGTATTTTTTCGGCAAAAATTTCCCAGATCGTTGTTTTGCTCTTATTTGGACCTTTTTGTGAAGTTTGAAGGCTTTTTGGGTTTGTTGCCAAACTTCTTTTCAGAGTGTTTTGGTTCCTTATTTGTTTATTTATTTTCGGTATACCATATTTATTCCAGAGGGTTTTCAAGCTTCATGCCTTTTTATTTCCAAAAGTCTTTTGTTATTCATTTTATCCTATAAGGGGTTGTAAACAATTAACAACCACTTGGTGTTCTCGGTGTTCATACTTTATTTTCTTCTTTGGGTGTATTTGTCATTACCCTGGGCTCTACTACATCCCTTTGCTGATCATGCTTTGTTTGCTAAGCTGCTATTGATGAAGATTATTGTTGGCAAGTCCTTGAGTGCTTATGTTGGTGTGAGGTTGTTTGTGTGAAGCTTCTCCCCTTGGTGCCTTCATCCTCATTCCCAAGGGTTGTGCATAGCGTTATCTCTTTGAAGCCATCATATCCAACACTGTTATCCTCTAGCTCCATTTAATCTTCATATGTAATTTAGAGTAAGGTAGAGTGTATGTTTTAATCCAAGCTTGGAACTTCTAGATGTTCCAAGTTGAGGGGAGTGTTGAAAAACAAACGTGGTTATGTCTATTTATATGGTTGTGTCTGTTTGTGAATAGGTAGGTATATATATATATATATATATATATATATATATATATATATATATATATATATATATATATATATATATATACACTATGTTTTTTCATTAGAAACATAGAATTATAGTAATATATTGTAATATTTGAGTATTATATACATTTTTTCATTCCTTGATTCTTCATCTTGGTTCCGCCTTACTGGCGGTGGTTGTTATTCTCCACCCGCCAGGCTTTGGATCTTTCAAATTCAATAAAAGGGAACTGCGAAAAAGTTAGTTCGGAGTGAAAGTTATCTAGAGTGAAGTCGTCCGCTCGTCTGGTGTCGGCCTAGCAAAGGGAGCGACCTAATAAAGGGCTACCTGATGTTTGATAAGGTCCGAAGTGAAATCATCCAAAGCGAAAAATGACTACTTGATGCCGAGAAGAGTCCGGAGTGTAAACTGTTGCGGACGTCGATTTCTCAATGGGTGGGCAATGATACGAATACCGTATAAAAAAAATAAAATTTCGTCAAATGGAGCGACGACGTTCTGGCCAAAGCGCGATAGCATCTACCAGTTTTTATGCATATATTCTTTCAGCAGTCATGGGGAAAAAGAAGCAATCATCTAAAGCTCATATATTCTCTTCATGAACACAACAAGATAGGCAAAGAAGCTGTCATCTCAGTCTTTAGCATGTTAGACTCTTTAGATTTTTGAGTGTGCTTTCTTTTTTTTGGGGTTTTTGAGTGTGTTTCCTTTTTCGGTTGGTTACATGGTGGTCTTAAAACCACAACTAGAAAGAGAATTCTGGTTATTATATTATTAACATCTTAATCAATAAGATTAAAATATTGAGTATCTTTTTCTTATTATTATATTATATGCACCAAAAAAATATATGAAAAGAGTAGAAAGGAAATATGAGATTGGCAACGTGGTAGTGTTAAAACCACAACTAAAAAGGTACTTTTAAAATTTTTAATCTTAAATTATGATGGTTTAAATTTTTTATTTCCAAATATGGATATTTTGAGTTTGGCTGGCACATCATATTGTCCAGATCCCTTTGTCTCTACCACCGCTGTGCAAACTGGGCTACCGCACAGGGTCCCAAATTTTAAAGACCCAATATTTAATTTTTACCTAATTAATTAGAAATGAAAATTAAAAGTTTTCAATTAATTTTAAAAGATTTCATGAGGAGATGATAGAAATGTATATTTATTGTATTTTAACTTGGAGGTTAAAGGTTCAAAATTTACATATGTTAGTTTTAAAAATTATGATTTTGGAGGGTCTCAATTATTTACCAAGGCCACAAAAACTTAAAATCCGGCCTGTCACCCATACTCACTTGTTAGTGGAAGTAATCTAGCTTTTGGAGATAGTACTCAAAAAAAAAAAGAAAAACTAACTTTTAGAGTAAGGCGTGATTTCTTACTCTCAAAAGGTGAAATCTCTCATTTTTTAAGATCTTTATATCTCGATTCAATAGAATTATAGAAGAATAAATCACAATGACTTAACAGTCTTTTAGGTGGGAGGAACTCACCACATCGGGTGAAACTCTCACATTGTGACTAGTAAGGCATGATTTCTTTTGGTTGTAGCTCAGGATTTCCACTGTCGAAACTAATCCCCTCGCTGAATTGTAGACACCTCTATTGGATATGACAGCTGGCCTGGAGATTTAAGGTTGCTCCATATCCAATCCTTAACCAAAATTTTTGATTAAGGATTAATGAGTCCCTTCCACTCAACCACACTTGGCTGGTTAAGGCATGATTTATAAGCACACACAACATAATTACATTATCTTTTATGCACCAATAATAATCTTTTATGCTCAGAGCTGTCTCAATGAGAATGAAAACCAAGTATCCTTTGACAATACACATCATTTCATCCTAGATTACTACATGTCTGATATATCTGTCTGTCAACAACTGAGAAGAATGTGGAGCAGCAGGAGATGATGATGACTAGTTAGCTACATACATACATTGACTAGCTAGCTACATACATACATATGCTGCACACTTTCACAAAGCACCAAACATGAACTTGGATTTTTGCATGGCAGTTGCCTTCAGCTTTTTGTCATCTTCTATTGAGTGAAGAACAGATAATAAAGCTATGGCTAGTATGAACTAGAAGACCAACAACAACAAAAAGTGAAGGCTCAATAAGATATAGCATCTACCCATATCTTGTTCTGGTCCCCCCCACCCTTAGAGCTTGGCTTCACACACATCCAAGAAAAAGATTTTTTTTTTTTTCTGGGTGATAAGGGAAACGTGTAGTCACTATCCGAAGGTGTGTATATATTGAACACAAGGAGCTAAATTAAACTAGCCTAGGATGTTTCCATTGAGATTGGAACTTGGAACCTTGTAGTTACCAAGCCAATAGCTCAACCAACTTGGCTAGGATTGCCTTCAAAGAATGTGTGTGTGCGTGGGGGGGGGGGGGGGGGGGGGGATCAAATGAATATATATTTCCTTATATGAAAACGTGCGAACAAGCATGAGTGCGCACAATCTACTTCCAGACATGTCGGGATGACAGTAGTGGAGACCTTAGAGTATATTGTGTTAGGTGTTAGCTGGGTTGGCCGAGTTCAGCCCCTACTCGATTCGAGATGTGACGATGTGGCTTACCATGGAGGGATGTGGTTAAATGGTTAATGTTCACCTACTTATCACCAATTGGTTTTAAGTAGGATATGACAACTAGATAACTAAAGAACTATCATAATGTCGGGCTGAGCTTGGTGTTCAAAGGTTGCGGTATGTGCTGGGAGGAGAATTGTTGGGTGCTTAAATCATTAAGCGTGTTTGATTTACAGCAGTCACAGAATGGGTGATCCATCAGAATAATGTGTGCACTTACGCTTGTTTGCACGTTCTCACCTAAGCGTTCTCATCTTGTGGTTATATACCAAGTCAACCGTCTGACCAACTTAATTGAATTCTCACAAAGAATTTTTACACTATTCCATGAGATAATGTGTCTAGCTGTGTTTCACTGTGGAAATAGGGGATAAAGTGTGATCC